CAACTGAAACAGAAAATATTCAATTTAATTATTTTTTCTTATAGTGTTTTACCTTACCGTAAGAATGTAACCGGGTGTGATGGTGAAAAGGCGAAATACAGAGAACACTAATGAATTTTGAACAACAAATCTAATTGTAAATGTTCCTTTTATTTTATTGTCAGCACCACTTACACTCCTAGAAATGTGATTTTAAATTTTTTATGTGTAGATATAATTATACGTATTATTTGTAATTAAAAAAAATAATACTGGATTTTAAATTCGTATTTTTTTAAAAATGAAACTTATTATAGTACGTTTTAATGATACTGACTTTAATCTATTACCCTTTTTTGGTGCATCCCTGATAAATTATCTATTTTGCAGCCTTGTGAAATAAGTCGTCTTCCTCGCTGTGAGTACGAAGTGTTAAAACTGGCGAGCACAAATGCTCTCAGAGAATGTTTGGCAGACCCTACTGTGAAATAGTTGCTGCTTTTAAGTTACCTTCCTACACGTGAGCTATCGTTCGAGGTCTGTTTTTTATTCAGATATCAGCAACCTATCATGTTATGCCGTGTTTTGTCAATCTTTGCTGTTACTCGTGAAGATCCTGCTCGCGCTAATCACTACGTCCGGGCATGAAGCTTGGCGGCAGGCGATTTTGCGTTGAAAATTCATTCGAAACGGTTAATGTTGCCCTTACTGATAGTGATATGTACACTTCCAGAAAAAGATCTTCGAATACATCCCACGGCTACTTCCTGCCGCGAGTTTGAGTTTATCGCTATTTCGCTATTTTGCTTAAGTTCTACCCTCTCGGTAACATTTGCGAAAATAGAAACAATTTTAGCGACTGTGATACTATTTTCATATAATTTTGAAAATCAGTTTTTGTTTTGTTGGGTTTATTGTTAATTAAAATTGTATCAAAAATTTATTCAACTTACACTTTTTATTCAATGCATTATTGTGAATAATCAAAATGGCATTCACTCTGTCAGGATCGATACGGCTTCGCTTCTCCTTTATTATCAGTTCTGCCATGCTAAAATTCCTCTTACTTGCATTATTTCTCTCCTTAGTTTTTGACATTTTAGACCTAATACTCTGTCTGGGAGGTTGTAGTGTTCGAGCCTCGACGGTGGTGGGGTTTTCGAGATTAGCTACATAAATACGTCGAATTCCACCGTTGTATGGAGGATAATTCTAGCTGTCGGCTGCCCGAATCGGTAGTTTTTCGTTGTTTTTTATCAATACCAGGCGAATGCCGGAGCAATTCCCTCACAAACGGGCCACGGAGAGCGCTCGATCTTCAAGGATTTCACATCACAGTTGACGCGTCCGGAACCACTAATCAGTTTTCAATGAATCGGGAAGTATTTACCGAAGGAACAAAAATGTTTATGGTAAAGAAAACTCCGTTATTAAATTAATAATTAAACCTCTCGATTATTGCAGAGGAAATGAAAATTGTCTATTGTAAGTACTTTTACTCGTAGAAACCTACATGTTTTCCGATAACGAAAAAAATAGTTGATTTGTAATGCCCGGGAGGCAGCGAAACGAAATGAGTGCGGCCCGCTCACAAAACTTTTATAGAGGCTCCCTTTATGAAAGTGTGTTGAAAACACAAGAAATGTTAGTACCTTAAATAATAAAAATATCCTTTAACAAATTCATATTCGCCGGTTTACGATTAATAACCAGTAATAGAAAAATCTGCCTTTATTATTTAATTTCATGAAATTAAGACTCTTATAAACCTAAATGAATTGCTTACCTTTTAATTCAGAAATGGGGTTACATCGAAGCAAAAAAATATTATTCTGGAAGGTGCTGTTGTTAATGTTTTATTATACTCATATTAACTATTGCAAAGTATCGAAGAAAGTATCACGTAATTGGTATTTATTACAATCGCAAAACCTTGATCCCTTTTACCTGGACCCGCCAGCATTTCGGGCCTCGTGGGCCCGAAAGTTACGCCCCTACCTGGAGCGTAATTCATGGACTCCCCGCAGACATAGGCGAACGTGCTGGGAATTTGGTTTTTGGTTCTCTAAAGTCAATTTTGTCGCCCGTATTAGCCGCTAGAGGACGCTACTGATATAGCCTCCATAATATTTATCATTTGATTTTATATATTTGGTAAAAGACAGATGCGAGATTCAGGAAGGGCAACTGCAATTGTTGGGGCAATTTAAAAAAAAATAGAATGTATCTTGACGGATCTTCAAATTGATATTATAAAATATTTACTAATTTCTGTATTTTGAGAACAAAATTTAATCCCCATAGAGTACTTGAGTAACGTGAGTGGGTGGGTGCGAATCAGTAATTCACGGTTTGACCACTTCTCGTGTACGATTCGAAACGTGCAGGTATCATTTGACGCATCTCCTGGTGAAGAACTGATAATTCATTTTCGAATCCGGTCTGATGATTCTAAGAAATTACCAAAATCGTGTTTTTGCAAGTTTAAACGCGTAGTGAGTATGCCAGGAATTAAACCATCACCACCCAAATGGATCTCTGTAGGTTACGTAGAATGCAAGTGAATCGCTGCGCGGCAGATTTCATTTAATTTGCATCCGTATTAACGTATTTTTACTTTCCCGTATACGTACGTATATACGGAGTAATATTCGTAGTATATGGAAAGTTATGTAGTGCTGCGGAAAATCGATTTCGAGATTTGAATGGAAATACACGTTTTAGGATCCCCATGATACTGAAAAAGTGTTGTTTTTTCTTTCTTTTAAGAGTAGAGTAATTCTGATTTCGTTTAAGAATAGAGTAACACACACTTATAAAAGTGGGATATGTCCGATATTTACGGTTAACTCAAAATTTTCGAAAAATTCAAAAGTATGGATTTTTTGCGGTGTCTTTCTACAAGAACAAAATTAAAAATAGAGATTTTCCTTCAAATTAAATTTGTTCTCTATAGTCAGTTCTTTCATTGAAGTAATGTACATTTGTTTGAAAATTTTAGTTTTAGCCCAATGTTGGGAGCAATATATGCAATTATAAAAAATTACTATATTGTTCTATACCATATTGTTCTATTCTTTTGTTTTTCAAAAACTACAAAATGTAATTTTTTGACTTCTCTCACGTCGATAATAATTTCACTACCGGCGATTTGTTCGCATTATTATATTTATGAGTACTTGTGTTTAAATAATGTCAAATTAAGTTTCCTTGACAATTTATCGTTTTCTGTGAAAACTAGCTCAAAATTCCGCATTTTTTTGGACGCCATTTTCTCGAAAACTTTCTTAAAAAACTACTCCAAATTATTTCTTCCATTTTTCGTAAGGATAGTGCTAATTGCACTCTTTAATATGACATAAATTTCATTTCGGTGTATTTATTCTTTTTTCAAAAATTACACAAATGTAAATCGTGAAAGATTTCGCACGCCGTTGATATGCTAATTTCCAGCAATTTGTAAACACTATTGTATCTGTGAGTTAAAGTACTTAAAATGACTTCAAATGAAGATATTCGGAAACTTAAAAATTTTCAGTGAATAAGAGCTTTAAATTTCGAATATACAGTAGCGCTTAAAGTGCCAGTCTTAATAAATAGCTCCAAATTTTTCAAAGAAAATTGCAATTTAGGAATGAGGATTTACTGTTCTTTAATAATCTTTAAATAAACTTCGCGCTCTATCCAATTAGGAAACTGAAAAATCAGGAAATGTGAAAAAAATGTACTTTAGGCGGCGATAGAAACAAGCAGCTAAAAAGATTATGTGAACAAGTCGAAACCTAAAGGAAAATAGAAAAGTAATGGCAGGAATGTTGGTGCCATTCTGTATGGCAATCACTAGTTTTCTGTATAAAAATAATAAATTTTTTCTTTGAGCAGATGAAGCATGAAGATCGGTGAGCATCCACAAGATACTTCCCTTTGAAAAAATGTTTATGATTAAAAGAACATTGCATTTTCAATTTACATATAATACTTTGGTATAAAGAAATTAGCATTTTTTGAAACGAATTCTGTCTTTTAATGTACGATTGCTTAACTACATGATTAAAATGTTTAATGTTACGCCTCATAAATCATTTGCTGCAAAACCAGTGGTTGACTTCAGCCTTAGAGATAGGTTGTAAGTGATTAGCTGCCGGAAATAACACCTTGCACCAATAACACTAAATTCTAATATGTATTTTGAAGGTGTGGAGTTATGGCCTAGGTACTGAATGTAATGATTAAACATTGCTTTATTGAAATATTTTTAATGAAAAATCCTACTTAATTGAAATGTTTGCCACATCCAATCCAATATCACATTTATGGTTAATGAGATACATCAAGAACTTTATTTTTCTGAATACAAATTGACAAATACAAATATTTTGTAAGTTTAATGTCTTTTAGATTTTTTATTTTATTGAAGTAGATAAGATAAATCCAAGTTTGTAGCTTTCTTGTACTTTGTAATCCAGATAGGCACTAACGAGTCCTATAGCTTCACCCTTAAAAACACGATGCTAAACATAACTTGTAATTTTTGATCATATGTCAGCTTTCCACATTCTAAAATCTTCTGAAAAGACTGATATCTTTGAAGTTGTTTGTAAACGAGAATAATCCTAATATTTTTATTTGTGATAATGCTAATATTATGTTGATAATATTAATTGCAGTTTTATGTTTTTGTTGTTTTTATTCTTCCTTTCTTCCTTCCTTTCTTCCTTCCTTTCTTCCTTCCTTTCTTTCTTCCTTTCTTTCTTCCTTTCTTTCTTCCTTTCTTTCTTCCTTTCTTTCTTCCTTTCCTTCTTTCCTTCTTTTCTTCTTTCCTTCTTTCCTTCTTTCCCCTATTGTGAAAGATCTTATCTAACCTCTTTCAAAAACAGTATGAATAAAACACAATTCTTTAATGGTTCATACTATCTTTTAATTAAGCACAACTTTTCCTTTCACAAATAACATTTTGATACTTTGATTTAATGTAAGAAAAATGTCCTTTGACATATTTAATCATACTACATTTCTTGTAGGAGCGGTATCAAGATTGCTGGTTCGAACGCTGTTGTATTAGGCCGAAGCAAAATTGTTGGCACACCTGCTTCAGAGTTACTCAAATGGCATCATGCTACTGTCACTGTTTGCCATTCAAAGACAAAAAATCTGGATCAGGAGGTAAAAAATATACCTTTTTAACAGTAATTAATATATCAAAATTAATTTTTGGCATGTAATATTTTTAAAAGAAGCAAGACCTAAGCTTCTGAAGTTCTAAGAAGTTGCAAGCATGACAAATATTGCTGAATTGGATAGATGTTTCTTTATCAGTATCTTATAGTATAAAAATTGTTGGACATCTGCATGCTCTGCAAACACCAAGATTCTGATTTTCATGGAATTATCTATTCTGATTCAACATGACTTTGAAAATTTGGGTTAGTCCTATCTCCAATGCAATCTAGATTGCATTTACTAGAGCAGCAGTGCAGTGTAGGTGGATGATCTGGCTTGGGCAGGGCAGGGAAAACAATGAAGCAGAAAGGGTTAGGATGCAGGTGGGCAAGCAAGTGAAGTGGAGAGAAGGAGAGTATGACATGTCGAGAATGTAAATAATGTTAACAACCATTTTATACTATACATAAAATTCATTTCTCTTCCTGTCTAATAGGTGATTGTGATAAATAAATACTCTGACAACATTCCAGTGTGTTTGAAAGAAAAAAAATGAAATCGATAAAAATACAAAATAAAATGTAATATCACTGCCTAACTCTGTCAAAGGCATAACTACAAAATAAATTGTCCAGAATTTTCAGTTATGTCCTACTGTCCTGCTAAGAAATGTTTTGCCAAATATCCTCGTTTCTTGAATTCATTATATAATTTTGAAATAAAACTTTCAATGGTGTGATTCTTAGATTGGTGTCCTCTGGGTTGACCTCTAATTTGTGCCAGTTAAAAATCATTACAAACGTTAATCTCAAATGATTTAATGCAATTTGTCTGTGTTTTATTGTAATTTTTCTAGATTGCAGTTTTGTGAAGTGCAAAGAAGATAGCTTTTGTATTGTGTGTAATAGTGTATTCTTCTGTCAGATTTAGAGAAGATTATATGAAAAGAATCCTATTGTAATGATGCTGTTTGAAATTGATAGAAGGTACATATTATGTGTTGGCATGCATGTGTGTGAAGTAACGCAGTTGTAGATTGTTTAAACAGAGTTGCATTTGTAGATTGAAACTGGATATTTCAAAAGCCTTAAACTCTTGTATGTGTTGATTTCTAAAGAAAAATTCTTTTAGATTTTGCTTCTTTTGTTAAGTTGCATATTATTTGAATGTTTAATATTAAACTTTTCAATGTAAAGCTGATTTCATCCACAGATTTTTGCTTGTAATGTTTTATATGTTAAACTTTGGTATCCAAATTTTTCCAATCTTGTTTAATAGTTATTCAATTACACACTTTACACACTTTTAGTAAGATTAAAGGGAGTAACAAAGCAATCTGTTTGAACATTTTTACTTTTGGGCTCATTTAACCTTTCAATTTTCTTAACAAAATCACATTGCACACAAATGAGATTAGAAAGTATGGATTTTATGTCATTGTAGTTATATTTGTGAACCTCAAATGAAATCATTATATAAAGAATGTGTCTTAATTAATGTTATTACATTTGGGTTAGGCAAAGGCTAACAGACAGTTATTTTATAACACAGTTAATGAATAAATATGAGGGAACCCTTATATAAATTAACAAAATAAAAGCTTAAAACAATTCCACCCTAATGAGGACATTATCTAGTACACAGAGAAAATATCAAGAAAGTAAGTAACAGAGGCATGACCTAGAATTATTTGTATGTAAACTTATGTAAAAAATAGTTAATCCTACCCTAACAAAGGAGAAATCAAAAATCCATATTAGTAAAATTATAGTGTCTCTCTACGACTTCAAAATAACTGCTAGCTACTTTATATCAATTGATTATTTTCTCTTATAAAAAGGTTTGTTTGTTTATTCATACAAATCTACAGTTTTATTCCAATCTCAATGAAATTTTGTAAAAGTGACTTTCAATATGAGGGAAAAATTACTGCCAGTATCAGATTTCTCAAAAATTACCCCAACCTCCTTTTCCACCCTTACACCAAGATTTAAGATACACTCTTTCTCTGTATAGAAAATACTTAGGAAATCAACTAAAATGAATTAAATGTTTGAGAAAAACCCATAAAAATCTTTTATAAATGCTTTTGATTCATTCCTATCATGACATTAAGCTTTGAGTAATAGAAAGTTAAAATTGTAACTGGTTGTGTCCTAAGAACCATCTGCTTATGTTTCCCATTTTTCAACCCTAAGATAATGCTGTGGCAATCATGGCTCAGCTCTACATATGTTTGTTGTATCAGTTCTGCAAAAGGAACCAATGTGAGAAGATGCTGATTAATGTGGCACATCCGGACACACGAGTTCATTTTTTCACACAAGTTTTCACACATTTTTTCACACGAGTGATCAGGTTATATTTTGACTCTGTTTTCAAAGTGTGTGTTTAGAATTCTTGCCCAGGTATTCAGTTATCTTCCTTTCACCATTTTATGATTTTTCTTTATGTAATATTTTTCTTATTCAAAATGATACCAAAACATAATAAAAGAATTGTTTAATGATCCACAAAATGTTGATAACATAGCACAAAATCAGAGAAAATACTACATTTATAGCACTTTAAAAATTATGCTAGATCAATTATTTTGCAACTACACTGCAGTATGCACTACTAGCTTACTACACCTTTAATAAACAATACGTAACTTTCAAATAGCCAATCCGTGTACCCCTGTTGAAGGTCATCCAGGGTTTTTCAGAACTTTCAGACTATGGTATAGTTTATACATTTCATTCCAATAATCAGGAATCTTTTACTTATAAATGCTATTAAATTTTATTAAAAGGCCTACTTTTTTTGAAATTCTAAATACTGAAAACTGTTGTGTTTATACTCAACATATCCAACAGCTTGCCTAGAACTTGGTATATGAAATAATGCAAAAGGCAGTTATTTTGAGTTAACAGACAGATGTTTCAGTTTTATTTATAAAGATTAAATTGATTTTCTGTGGTGTGTCTAATCCGTTGGGATTCTGGAACAAATTTAAAAATGTATTAATAGAAAATTTTGTTGGAGATCTGTAATGTCATATTGATTCAGAAGTAAGAACCCTTATTGAAATCTGTTTTAATTGTGAACTGCTGTAAACTGTTCTTTCAATTGGGGAAATTTCTGATCATTACAAATTACCATCTCTCCAGTTTCAAAAATCCAGTCTATGCTGCATCTAAAAACAGCTACAATAAAATATCTATCGAAACCGTCAGGAGAACAATAGAAGATTTAAGAAACAATAATGATTTATTCTGGAAAATTACCTTTTTGCTCACAGGTTATTTTGGACAAACATTGCCCATTGACACTAGAGAATTGTCAGCTGATGAAGTTGATACATAAATGAAACATTTACTCCTTTGATTTGAAATAAAATATGAGAGTATAGTCAACTAAACACATAATTCAGCAATATTTTCCTAGAAATTGTAGAAAGAAATTGTTCCGAGATGAATGACAGTCATGACATTCAACTGCCAGCTGCCCTTTGTAATATCGCATCAGACCCTAGACTTTGATATGTGACGTTTATAACAATATACAAAATACGAACTCAAAATAAGTAAGCCTGGTTTTGCAAAAGATGTATCGTGGCACTGAGGAGAAACAATGAAATTTCTATTTTCACTAGTTACATGTTAGAAAAACGACTGGTGACTCAACAGTGTATCTTTCAATAAATACCATGTGTAATCTAGCTGAACCTGTAGTTACCATGTAGAATTCTTAAATGGTATTATTGCAACAGATTGTCCTGCTCACTAAGTATGCCTAAAGATTGGCACTCCATAATGCTGCTTTGCAATTTAAGTCCCCCTTAAATCTGTAATGGTATGAAGTTAGGAGTAATTACTTTGAAAAAAAAAACAACAACAACAAACTGAGCTGTGATCATAACTGGCTGATGACATGGTATTTATACTAAGGGTATCCTAATTTTGCCATATTATCCTTTCAAATTTGATAAAGACCTGATCAAGTGTTGCTCAGACATCAGCCATGCAACTAATATTGTAATTCTTTCAAAAGAAAAGAAAATGCCAAATGTAGATTATACGGAGATATTACACTGAAGAACATTACATTACTACATTTTACAAATTTTTGTGAAAATAGCACTTTTAAAAATATTTATTTTGATTTTGAAGTCTTTTTATAAATGAATGTACTCCCATCAACAATGGGTAAATCGATCATTAATGGTTTTGAAAAACATTGACTGCTAGTATGTGGGTTTGTGGAATATGAAAAGTTCAAAGTCTGGTGTAATTTTGTTATTAGCAATGAAATTAAATAAGGCTTTATTAATTACTTTTGAATTACAGTTTAACTGCAAAATACTAGAACCTTTTTGCATGTGCTCAGTGCGCATTCAAACAACTTGTATGCAAAATTATTCAATTCCTTGTTTTTGCTCTTTATTTTTCAAACCACTGTTTGTTACTTCCCATTTGTAGAATTGTTTCCGAACTACACTTGAAGTTGTGACCTGCACCTGGAATAATCCATAGAGCCTCAGGGCATCAACAGTTTTGTTTGATATCTGAAATGGATATTCATCCCCATTTGAGAAAAGCAACTCTAGATATCTCTGTTTTAAAACATCTGACACTGTTTCTGGACGGAGGCAGATACTGAATTAGTAGTAACCTTCACTGTCCTTCCGTTTATAGTGTTTCAGCTCGGAATTTCAGAATCATCAAGGAGTTGTGACTTTTTAATGCACGTTAATGTATAAAATGTCTCTTGCTGCTAACCTTGAGGACTAAAAAGAGGGAATATTTACATGTGAAAGATCGATGGGATCCATAAAAAACATTGAGATTTATGGAGGTAAACATTTAATTGAGGTTGCAGTTTAGTCATGCTATCTTACTGTTATTACTTGATGTAACACATAACTTTAGAAGTTACTAAGAAATGGGGCACAAACGTCTGTAAATTAAAATGTTTGTTATAGACTTGGTTACTCCATTGAATGAATTGTTTGTAGTAGTTCTGTATTATCTTTTACAGCACGTTTGTTAGACTTATTTAAATCCTGTATGTGAGCGATAAGACATTTCTACCAACTTATTCCCAAACAAATATTACATTTTTCAGTTTCTGCTACTTACTTTTCATTCTTCTCTTCATTACTCTTTCATATTTTTCTCCTCACCATTTCTTGTCTTTTTCCTCTTCTCCTTTTCTTTTGTCTCTACTTTAACTCCTCTTTCTCACCTTTTTTCTCTTCCTCCATTTGACTTCTCCCCTTCCCCACATCCTCTTCTTCCTCCTCTCGTCTTCTCTCCCTCCTGACCTCTCCTCCCTGCCTCACATCATTTTCCCTTCTTCTTCGCACTCCTTCCTCTCACTTTCCCTTCCCATCCCTCGCTTTCCCTCCCTCTCCTCACTTTCCTCTCCTCCCTCTCACTTTCACTCTCACTCCTCATTCTCACTCCCTTTCTCTCCTCGCTTTCCCTCCCTCCGTCCCTCCCTCTCTCTCCTCACTTTCCCTTCCTTGGTGTAGCATTTTTAAAATCCAGTTACCAAATGTCTCTTTTGGTTTCCTTGCACAGTATTATGTAACAGCATGTTTTTCAGTCGCTGCTAGCATATATAAATACTGAGAAAGCAAAAGTCATATCAGCTTGTGTATTTCACCTACTACCCTCTCAAAACTTTATCAAATGTTATTTTCTAAACTCATTATTCCAAATATAGAATAAAATATTTATTAAATATCTATGTTAATTATTAAAAATAATAATTGTATCCCTAAGGCGAGTTACTTTTTTACCTGAATGTAACAATTGCCTTTATATTCAGATCAATTCTGTTGTGATTAGATAGTTTTCTTCTTCAAAGTATTGAATAATGAATGGAAGAGAATCAAGGAGAAATTAGGGAGGAGCAAGGGAAGGGAACAAAGGAAACAAAAAGATGAAAGTGAAAGAAGTGAAAGAGGATGAACAGGGAGGAAGAAGATGATATACAAAAAGATGGAAAGTGGAAGAAATGTGAGGGGAAAAGGATACTATGAAAAGATGATGATGTAGGTAGAAAGGCACTAAATTAAAAGTAAAAGAAACGGACTGCAAAAATGAAGGTGGAGATTAAGAATAATAACGGAATTCTGAAAATAATTCAAGACAAAAGATGTTTAATTTAATATTATAATTCTTTTTGTACCTATTTTGCATAGATAATCATTTTTTTCTTCTTTCTGTAGATATCCAGAGCTGATATCCTTGTTGTTGCTGTTGGTGTACCTCAAATGGTAAAAGGCCACTGGATAAAGCGAGGAGCAGTTGTTATTGATTGTGGAATAAATTCGATTCGTGGTAAAGACCCTTTTCAATCTCTATGTTAATTTACAAGTGTTTCACGGTAGAATTATTTCAAAATGTGAATTAGTTGTCACTAACATAAGAAACTGTTTTGGGGTTTAGTTACATATTTAAAAACTTCTTAGAATTTGAAAGTGAAATCTTTGTAGAAGTTTTAGTCTTTTTTTGCTTTGATTTATTTTGGATTAATCAAGGTGTGGGACAATGTTAGATTATGAAGTCAGGTATTGATGTCCAAAGTCAAGTCAAGCAAAGCAAAAAGAGCACAGAGGTAAATACATTTAGGAAAATTCAAAATAATATTGCTTCATTATCATTTTTCTTGAAGCAAATGTGAACATTAATAAATATTATGTTTTTTTGTTTTAGAAATCAAACAAATTTATTTTGTTGATAACTTTATTACACTAACATAATGATTCTAACAATTTAGATCCTAATATTGATTTGATTGCTGATTCAATCAGTACTTTTAGTTTTAATGCACATTAATATGTATCTGCGTTAAGCATATACTATTGTACTAGTCCATAAGATCCTGTAATTGAGTTGATTCTCATATGATTTGTAGTCCAGGAATAATAAATAAATATGACTAAATAATACAGAATCTCTAGTTCTTGGTAGTCATGCATTGTTGTGTAAGTACTATTCAAAATGTAAAAGGAACAAGCATGTGAACAAAGAATAATTCTGTTATGTACAATGTGGTCAGTGGAAATCCTCGATTGTTTACAAAAGGTAAAATTAATCAGGTTGATAATGCAAGAGATAAAAAATTACTGTTATATATAAAATTTCAAAATAAAAGTAACTCTCACTTGTTTTTAATGGATTACTATTTAATGTTTCTTTCGATTCACTTGTTAAAATTTTGACAAACTGCCTTTCATTGGCAAGTACTTTTCTGCTTTCTACTGTGTAAGTTTGTGCAAATATTTATGCTCATTTGTGTAAATTCTCTAACATTTTCATGTGCCTCGTTTCTTTATCAGTACAAATTTTGTTTTGTTTTAGATATGTGCTTGATAATTCATGACTTTAAATCAAAGTGTATTGTATTGAAAGGCATTGTGAGAGGAACTAATTTTGTCTCCATAAGATGCAAAACTTTTTATCTTGTTCTGTTAATATTCATTTTCTGTTGAAAGAAATTGACATCTTAAGGCTTTACGTCAATTATTTATGTACTTATCCGTACTCTTTTGAAATGTTCTTATCATTCTTTTTCCTCAAAATATTACGATTATAATAAGGCCTGATTTTGAGTTTTTCACATGTAATTGTGTGAAAAATAATTATGATTTATCTATAATTTCAGTATTGTAAAACATGCTTAAAAATTATTTTAGATCCTTCTAAGAAATCCGGCTCTCGGTTGGTTGGTGATGTCGCCTTTGAAGAAGCTAAAGAAGTAGCTTCTTACATTACTCCTGTGCCAGGAGGAGTTGGACCACTTACTGTTGCTATGTTAATGAAAAACACAGTTTTATCAGCCCAGAGAGCTGCCAAAAAGCTTCTGAATACAACCTGGAATTTAAGGTTGTTACCAATTACACCAGCTACACCAGTGCCAAGGTAATGGAGCAAAAATGTGATTGACTAACTAATAAAGTAACTTGCATGTCATGAGTATGAGTTTTCCCCTGTATAAATATTTATATAAAATTTTTTATGTCAGAAAAATGTATAAGCTGAAGAACAAAAAAAAATTCTTTAATGTGTTTGAATGTTCTTTATAAACAATTTTTAATTTTTGCCATGTAACAGAAAAATGCATTTTAGTTTCGTTTTAGTAGAATGCATAATGTAAATGGCATCAAGGTGGATTCCCCCTTCAAAATAGAAAATTAATGAAATTGAAAGTAGTTTTTTATACCTAGAAACTTGTAATAATGAAAAAAGTAAATATTGTCAAGAAATATAAAAATGTGAGGAGAAAACCAGTGAAATATCAGAGAATTTCATTTTCAAAACTGATTGTTGATTTAAGAACCTTTAAGCTTTGTTTTATTCTCAAATAAGAGAAAAAAGGTATTTTTCGTCTTGCAGATATTCTGTAGTTGTGAGAAACCTCAAATAGATATGGTTGAAGATTGTTTAAATTATTACCAAAGAATATTTCAGTAGAAAACAGTACTCAAAAGTAGAGTATACATAATCCCTCTGAGTGGGATATTGATGTCCACCAGAAGGAAGTCTTGATAATGCAGTTTGTGAATACAGAGTTCAAGAATGTAATTCACTTTCGAATATTTCACACAAAACATGTACTGTGTATTGTTAGAGATTGCATTTGTGTGATCACATTTTATTTTCCTGTTTGGTTAGAAAATCTTCAAAATTGATAAAATAGAAAAGAAGGAAATATTTTTTTATTAAGATGTTTTGTATTTTATTTTAAAACTTGTTTTCCTATTGTAGGGATATAGTTATAGCACGAGCACAAGAGCCAAAAAATATTAGTCAGTTGGCTAATGAAATTGGACTACTTCCTAGTGAAGTGCATCTTTATGGAGATAAGAAAGCAAAAGTTAATCTTTCAGTTTTGAAGAGATTGGAGTTACAGAAGCCTGGAAAATTTGTTGTAGTTGCTGGGTATGTATGTAATATCTAATGTTAACTTGCTTACTATTTCTGTATAGATCATCACGTTTTGTATGTTTGCCACTTCATTGTGTGGTGTGAGTCAATTTTATTTAAATGTAGGATTTGAGGCAAAAAGTGTTTATCTTCAAAACAAAATTTCAGACTTAATGATGGAATTATGTTGATAAAATTTTAACATATATTAACTTGCAAAATTATATTGTTTTATGAGTAGTAGGATTGGGAAAGCTGTCAAAATAATTAATATTATTATTATTATTTGTTTTAAGATCAGAAACTGGTGTAACAGAATTTATTAATTAAATTTTAAATTATGGAACAGAATTGTATTCATTTTGCATAATAAGCCTATTGTTAACACCTGCTTTCACTTACAGACAGGAATGCCTTCCATTCTGTTTTGCATTGCATTGTTAATTCCAAAATCTTAGCATGTTTTTATATTTAATGGGCTTGGTTTAAGTATGTATTATTGTCTGTGAAGTCACATAGTGTTATATTGGTTTACAATGTGGAGGTTAACTCCAGTGCTCGAAGGGGTGAGGTATTAAGCCAGAGGCATATCTGCGATATGGCAGACATGATATGTGCCATAGTCGCTACTCACAAGGGGCACTATTTAGGGTATACTTGCTAAAACAAAAACTACCTTAACCTGAATTATCCAGACAAGGTGCAAATTCTATGCTTGCCATAGGCACCTCAATGCCTAGCCTAATATGCCTCTGTATTAATCACCCACAAAATGTTAAAATAAAATAAAGAAAACTTAACATCCTGGTGTCTTAATTGACTTGCCGTCTATGATCCTGAATTCAATTTATTATTATTGTTATTGTTGTTTAATTATCATGTGTGAACAAAATATAAAGTATTGTAATTGTGCAAAATGTTATTGATCTTGTTATTTTGAGGAAACTTCAAAATTTGGAAGTCAATGACAATGAACATAAGAAATAGTCACAATGTTGAAAAAATGCTAACCTTTTTCTTTTTGTTTTCTTCCTTCAGTATTACTCCAACACCACTGGGTGAAGGTAAAAGCACAACAACGATTGGTTTAGTGCAAGCCCTTGCTGCTCACAAGAAGAAAAATGCTTTTGCATGTGTGCGTCAACCTTCTCAAGGACCAACGTTTGGCATCAAAGGTAGAAAGATAATTTTTGTATGGTGTGAAATAGAGATGTGATGTTGGCAACAAATCAAGTTAAACATAAATATCCAAGTTGCAAATTAACAAATTGAGTGTGCAGAAAATCCGTATGTCAAATTTTCGGTAAAACCTTGGATTGCAAGTAACTTGTTTGTGAGTATTTTGCAAGCCAAGAAAAATGTTGAAGATATTTTAACTTGATATATGAGAGATGCCTTGCAACACGATTAGAACTGGTTGGCCTCCCTTCCCTCCTCGTGCCCCTGCAGCGGAATTTTGCCCACAGCTATTTTCTCACACTCAGTTTTATAGCTCGATAAACTTTGGAAGTTGCATGCAAGAAAAGTAGTCAGACAACTGATGGAAATCATGTTGAACATCTCATCTGCTTGATGAGAAGAGGACAAGAAAAAGAGAGAAGAATCTTTAACTTCAAATAATATTAAAAAGATGTGCAAAATTTGGAAATTAGTTCAAAATTTTGTAGAAAATCATCATGCAAAGGGCAGTTCGCAGTGCAAACAATGGATGTTTTCAGTGATTGAGGCAACAGTCTTTGGATAGATAGATTTTTAGTTAAAATGACATGAAACTATTTCAGTGAGCCAATAGCTGAGATTTCTGCTATGCAGTAAACAGTTCTTTTTATCTACACTCGACCGTCTTCCTCAATGTAAGGTACAGCTAGGCATTTTTACAATATAAGGTTCAAAGATTTTGTGTTAATTATTCTAAACGAATCAATCGTTTTGTTTTGTGAACAAATCATCTGCATTTCAGTTATTTCTTATGGGAAAATTTGCTTTGATACACGAGTGTTTTGGATTATGAGCACAATTCTAGAACAAATTACACTCGCAATCCAAGGTTCTACTGGACTAATTACCTGTAAAAAAGAAAAAAATCAAAAGTATAAATTGAAGATAATGATCAAAATCTGTTTAGAGATACCAGACAAATAAGAGGTTTAACTCCATTTAAAAGTGAAGTTTTGTAGGGTTGTGCATTGCTCTTTTGGAAGCTGCATTTTGGTACGAGTGAACAAATTTGCAGAATTCAGCATCCAACTAGTGCCCATTACCCTTGCTCTGACGAAAAGTAATAACTCATATGGGAAACTAACAAAACCGAAATTTCATTTTTTCAGGAGGTGCAGCTGGAGGAGGATATTCCCAAGTAATACCAATGGATGAGTTCAATTTGCATCTCACTGGTGACATTCATGCAGTGACTGCAGCAAACAACTTGTTAGCTGCGCAAATTGATGCCAGAATATTTCATGAAGCTACTCAAAATGATAAGGGTTTGTTTGACAGACTGGTTCCAGCAAAAAATGGCAAAAGATCATTTTCCAAAATTCAGGTATTGTGATTTGTATTTCGGCAAAAAATATGTGCTAAATTATTTTGTTGTCATTTTCTGAATTCCAAATTAGTATAAAGTTATTATTACTACTTGTGGATACTGTCACAAGAAGTTATTAGCAATTTTACAGACTATTCTGTCTACTGAAATACCATAAGAGCTGTTGCCGGAGGGTCAACCTGAGAAAGTAAGACTATCAGTGCTGTATACCGTAACGTTCCTTAATGATTGAAACTGCTAACCAAATAGACAACATGATGGATGAACACTCGGAAGACTCATCCAAAGTACCATCAGCAACTTCTGTGAGCAGATAATTCCTCAAGTTAATCAAGATCATAAGTCTATAAAAATTCACCACCATACAAATTCTAAACTGTTTTCCTCCCTAGTGGCCAGCTTCAATGAGGCTGTACTCCTCGCCCCACCTGGCATTACATTCTCTCTATCATCTGTATCTAGGGTCTTGGGAGGGGGCAACCCCCACTTCCTCACTATTTTTGCTCTCTCTGGTTCACCAGGCCAGGACCCTACGTATCAATTACCCCCTGAGTTAGCCGTGGCTCTTTTCAGCTAGTTACTCAATTATTGCCTAGATGCTGCCTTCCACTGCTGGAGCCCAGGTTCGATACCGTGGTGCTCCAAGTGGAATTTGTGGTAGACCAAGTGGGTTCATGACAGGTTTTGCTCAGGGTACTGCCAATATTCATTCCACCAGTGTGCTCCAACATTCGTTCCTTACACTATCCTAACATTAACCATCATTCTGCTACGGATCCACAGACAACAGTGACATCTAGGCTATGACAAAGGATTCCCTGAGAAGGGCTGTGGCTGCTTCAGCAGCTTATTGATAAGTTGATTCCTGGTCTGTTGAACTAAAGAGAAAAGGTAAATGGTAAGGGAGTGGAGGATGCCCCCTTCCAAGACCCTAGTCATGCATGATAGAGAGGGGAGGTAATGCCAGGTGGGGCGGAGATTAGCTTAATTGAAGCTGGCCTCTAAGGGAAAAACAGTTTAGTTAGTTCACCACCATATGAACTATCAAAAACCACCTCCCACATTGAAACAAAACTGAAGAAGATTGAAGACAATATAGCAATTACCAAGAGCAAGGATTTAAGAACATTAAGGAGGATATGCAGATGCTCAATAATGTTGACAACATCCTCACATCAGATGTAACTAATAAAAGAAAACAGACAACCGTAGATAAACAGTGACATCTCTGAAAGGAGAATAGATCACCAATGAGGAAGTGGAGAACTTGGAGAAGGAAATCAAAAATCACCTTGATAAGTCTCGACAAAAAGGCAAAATAAGAAATGCACATACAATCAGAGATATTGAAGAGAATACTTGAAGCCAAAATAGAATTCTGTGGGGATGTAAGAATTCTGTAATCCTCATCCAAAAGATGGCATTCCCATGACTTGGAACATGTTATAAATATGTCCTTGGGTGATTAAATGTCCTGACAAGTAAAGTGAAGTTTGTCATCAGGCTTGGGAGAGAAACTTCTAACCAAACTAAACCTTCTAAAGTAGTGCTGAGCAGTCCACCAGAAATATTCTTAAACAAAGACTGGGCTTGTCCTACAGAGTGCTTACCAACAATTTTTTAACTACTCTTCAACACAAATAAAAAGCTGTGCATGTCACATTAGGGGCCAAGTGGAAGAAAAACCCAAACCTCACTGTCGAGTATATTAAAGACAATCTACAGTAAGTAAAAATTCAGGAAAATGACATCAGTCAGTAGCTGCAAGATCCTCAATAATTCAAAGGAAAATAATGTATATAGAAAAACTCTGTGTATACATTTTGCACTTGTACGTTTTTCATGTTTATACATCGTTTTCTGTAAGTCCCAGATAAATTCCTATACTTGCCTACTAAATTATTTCAGATATGTGTTTTATGTTTATACATTCAAAAGAAAAGTCCCTTTAAGACTGTTAATGTCCAAAACAAAATAGGTGACTAATAAGTGAGAACATTTGTGTTATCACAGAGGAACCCATTGAATTTTTGTGCAGAATGCAGTATTCGGGTTGTTTAATTTCGTTGTTACGCAGGGCGTTTCAGCTGGTTTCAACTGTCCGTTTTGTAATTTTGGACTAAATCATAGGATTAAAAAATTGGGGTGATAAAGTCGTGCAGTGCAGTTTTGCAAAATGTTCACCAATATTCATGAAAATTCAGTGCATTTAAAGGTAGTGTTGAAACTCAGAATCCAAGACTTTTAATGACAATTTGACCTGTGTCACATGGGTGTTGCGTTGACGCATGCCACCTTAGCTGATGACATCAGCTATGTCGATACGTTGTATAATGAATGTCGTATATTAATATTGTATCTTACGCTTCAAGAGCGTATTTCAATACTATTTGGTCAATAATACAAAAATTCTTTCAACTTACTAGAATATTCAATCTTTCATTCAGGTAGGTCTGATAAACAAGAAAGTGGCATAATGATGAGCACGGTGAAAACTATTGATATTCATAATTCATCAGTAAAAAGCCTATGGTTACACATATCCATAGGTGGTATGGAAATTACCGTTGTCACAATATACATACTATCATTCTCTAATCTAAGATTGCAAGGTTCTGACCTAAAGTTATTTATTATTGGTGGATAAAACCAATTTAATAAACCTTTTCTATTATATGGTTACTTCAATCTTCCAACTATAATATGGATGGAAAACCAGCAGACAGGAAAGAGAAATAAATAAAATATTTTTAAAATTCTACAACATACATCTGGTTCAAAAAATTCAGACACTCTTGATTTTATATCCTCTGATGACCATTGATAAAGTTGTTACTTCTTCAGTACTGAGACCACCTGATGGACAAATCAATCACCTTGTAATCATTGTGGCATTATGGTTGAAATTAAAATCAGATGAACATAGCTTCACACCCGACTATAGGAAGACTGACTGTGAAGTGATGATAACACAGCTGTGCAACCTTGTTTGCAGTGATGTAATGTCAATGAGATAAATGCATTCAATACGTATGACAAATTCAAAAATAAATGTTATCATCTTTTGTTCAGCAACACCCCTCAAAAGAAGGTGAAGAAAATCAATACAAAACAATGGAATAATCGCTCACATGAAAAACTAGCTAGAAAGGAACATCGGGCTTGAAAAAATTGCTAGAGGACTGGTCTGAGTGATCCTAATGCAACCTAAAAAATATTTCCAACACCCTCACAAAGATTTCCAGATGCTTGAGATCTAAATATGCTAAACAGGCAGTTAAAACTGTTGATCAATGAATATCTGAGATTTTTGCAAGCGAGTCTGTAAAAGTTCATGCTAGAATGACTAGTTGGAACTACTGAATGTGGTGCAGAGAGACATCTCGCCCCTAGACTACATATATTCAACCCTGTGTTCTCAGGTACTGAAACAGCTCAAACTAGAAACCCTGGATGAAAGTTACACCCCTGGTGCAGACTACATTCCAAATATTTTTCTGAAGAAGTGCTACCACAACTGAACAGAATCTTCAGGAAATTGAAGGAAGCTGGTAGTGTAACAAAACCATGGAAATACGCCTTCGTAACTGCAGTATTTATGGAAGGAGATTAACATGTACAAGAAATTATAGGCCTATCATCCTGTTAAGTGCAATGGGGAAGATCATAGAGAGAATTACAGCAACAAAGATCTGAGAATATTGAATATTCAACAACCTCACACTTACCCAACAATATGGCTTGGTATGAATGGCTAAGGTTGTGACAACCATGAAAAGTGCACTGTCTTTCATGTGGGCCCCAAGAATTCCAAATCCATGTGTACCATTGGGAATGATATTTTGAGCCATTTTCATAGCCCAAATGACCCAGAGGTGTTGATTATACAAAATCTCAAATGTAAAGAACACACAGCTGCTGTGACTAGGTGAGCCACAACTTTTTATATCCCCTACGAAAATCCTTCCTAAATTGAATGCTTCTACTTCTAGGAAAATATACACAATAACAGTGCAACTATTTTATTAGTGTATGGCTAATAAAAACCATCACAGGAAATTCTGCTTGGCTGTCGAAGTGTCATTCATCGGGCAACACTCCCCCTGAAAGGTTGCAGGAGGGTTCCAAGGTCTCGCTCCGCAAAAGGCATATTTTCCAGTCTTGATGAATAGTTTGTTTGTGATGGCTCCCTTTGAAGTTCACTATAAAACAGAAAGTGATTGCCTGTGATGCATACATAAAATGCAATTCTGTGAGAAAGTATTAATAGAAATGTCTGAGGACATTTTGGGGAATCAGACCTTTACTTCGGAATACAATTGAAAAGCTGATGAAATCATTAAGGAGTCAAGGTGTACTAGCGGACAAAAAAATAGTATGTAAGCACCACGTCTTAACAGAAGAGTCATAAGAGAAATTGCGTTACATTCAAATTCGACTGGAACATTCTCGTGTATATGTTACAAATCCCCACATAGAAGAAGAATTAAGGCAAAATATATAGGATCAGATCTCTGCAATACCACTAATCATCCATTACCAAATGAACTAGAACTTGTTAAGAAAGGAATGAGTCAGAGCCGTTGATGAGCATCTCCAGCATCTAATTTAAGGCGAGTACAATTTAAACTTTTCAGAAGTGAAAAGCCACCTTCCCTCTCTAGCGATTCAGCAGATCACCCTGTCTTGATTTCTGCAGCATCTGTGGCTTCGTTTGCAGAGGAAAAATCCCTGCATGACCGGCACATTTATAAAATGATTGTACTGTATGTTAGTCCCATTCTCAAATATGCCAGCATTACATGGGACCTCTATTTCATGAAAGATCTGGAGCATATTGAAAAAATGCAAAGATAGGCCACTAGGGTACTCATTGAAATTGTACTTCCTCACACAACACCTAAGTAGTATTAGGAATGATAATGTCAAATGACATTCAACATCAAATGTGACAATGACAGTAGACTTCAAGGATTAGGATAATCTGAAGCTTTGAAAGGAGAATTCCAGGACTAAAGTTTGTAGGTACTTCCTCATCAAACAGAATTGTAAACTGTTGGGCCTGCCACCCAAGTTAATGTGAAGAGAAACATCTAGCGAAGAGAAAACCATTATTCAATTGGATGAACCAGGTTACCAATTGTGATAGGGTTGTTAATATCTATTTACTAGCAGTTTGTTTTAATTTATATGTGATATTTTTATTGAAATACTAACTTGATATGTAATTATCGTCTTTGGTTGCTGCCATTGATACCCTAATTTAATGTTTTCCCCCATTTAACATTAATTTCTGGATGTCCTGGAGATGCCTGTATGTAATTAATGCAATTATATTTTTAATTTAGCATCATCAGCTTTGACAAACAACCCCCATGTAACATTAAAAAGTTTTGGATTTTTATTCCTTTTTTTCTCCACAAATAGGGAACCAATGCCATATGTCATTCAGTGCAGCCAATTTTAGAGTATGAAAACATTAACTGTTGCAATGACATCTGTATTAAGGTAGTGTTATATTAAGTATGCTGCTCTGAATCAAATTGTGATGTAGTGGGAATGTCATTCATCCATATAAATTTCGCATTCAGAGATAGAACTTTTATGATAATATTATGATGTAATTATATATGGATTTGCCCATAAATAACATAACGCAAATTTATAGTATTTGAAATACTCAATATCAAATCTGTAATGCATGCTTAAACCCTCCATAAATAATTATGCAACTCTTGTGTCAAGACACCCCTCAATGTACAATAAGTAAAAATAAATTATGAAGTAGAAACAACTTGTATTAATTTTATTTGTGTTATATATTAAAAGTTGTAATAGTTTAAATCAGAATTAATTGGCAATGTGGATTGCACCCTAACATAAAGATTGAGGACAATTTTTAGAAGAAGGAAGGACACTTAGACTAGAACATTTTTGAAACTACACCATGAACATGATGTCGTGGATGACATGTGGGCCTTGGGCTGAGAGTCTACTGCACCAATTTAATTGGATTTTTGAACAAAACTATTTTCTTTGTAATGTAACAAATCCAATGAAAAAACATTGATGAAAAACTTTTCATTTATTGTAACACTTATTTATTACATCATAACTTTTTCATTTATTCTTATTTTTCCTTTAATTTGGTAATATTTTAGTGTTTTAGTACAATACTTTACAACGTTAAGTAGGGGATTTACTGTACCTGTAACTTTTGCTTCAAAGGAAAGTTTTGTTTCAGCTGCTTAAAATTGCTCAAAGATTTTATGTTAAAGATTAATTGACTGTGTTACTATTTATTAACCTTAATGTGTTGTTTTAGTTGCGGCGCCTGCAAAGACTTGGAATTAATAAAACAAATCCTGAGGATTTAACAGAAGAAGAACAAAGGAAATTTGCTCGTCTTGACATTGATCCCAAGTCTGTTACGTGGCAAAGGGGTAGGTAAATATGTGTGAATTGTGTGGAAGTGATGCGTGGGGGGTGGGGGGAGATGAGGCCTTCACTTTCTGCCATGAACACTTTCTGAAAATATCATATCCTTCCCAGGATCCTTAGCTGGAATGTCCCATGCCCCTATACCACCTGGCCGGTATATATTTAATTTCAGCATCTATTTAATGTAAAAAAATCCTCCTATCTTAAGAGTTATGTTAATCTAATTCTTGATGTTTTCCAGTGGTTGACACAAACGACAGATTTCTAAGAAAAATTACTATTGGTCAGTCTCCCAGTGAAAAGGGCCACACTCGTGAAACTGGGTTTGCTATGACTGTTGCCAGTGAAATAATGGCTATATTAGCCCTAGCTGAAAACTTGGAAGACATGAAGCAGCGTCTTGGAAAAATTGTTGTTGCAGTAGACAAGCAAGGACAGCCTGTTTGTGCTGATGATTTGGTAATTTTGCTTCATTATTTATGCATAAACATGTATATTGACCTTAATTGTGAAACTTAATGTTTTTGTTGTTTTGTTTGTTAAAGTGCAATGATAGAAACGTGAGCGTATGAAAAGGTTTTGTTTTCATTATTTTAATTTACTGATTCCACATAGAAATTAATTGAAGTTACTTAGAAAATACAAAAGTTTTAAAGGAATACACATTCAATAGTGCAATAATTTCATCGACTCATTTTCAACATAAATGTTTAATGGGGAGATGCTTCTCTGAATTACATGTGATGTTCACTTGTTTAGTAAACTGTCACATTGGCTCACTCTTATAAAAATTACTATATATTAATAAACTGAGCAATATTAGAATGTTTATCTCCATACAGTATTGGGCATTTATAGTGTAATGCATATTTCAGAGCCTGGCTGTGGAAAGTTGGGTACCAATATGAAGCTGTTTTCACATTTAGAAAATGCACAAAGAGCAAAATATTTGAATGGGTCCAACTAGTATTATATTTGTTTAATTAAAATTAATGTTACACCAATGGTACTTGTAAAACTCCAAAAGTGTTTGTGTCTCTAGGTCAGACATTTTGTGTTAGATAAATAAGAACAAAAGGGCTCTTTTAGACAAGAAACTTCTGAGCCCATAAAACCAATCAAGTAAAGAGTTTAAAATCCAGGATTGATAACATAATAACAGTTAAATGATTAGTTTATGGTATTAAATTTTCTTCAAGATATCTCCATTCCGTTATATATATTAAACATTAAAGCTATTATTTCATCAGCTATACAAATGTTTAGTTACTAACCAAGAAGTAGAGCAATTTTCCAGCAGTAATATCTCTTCATTCCTATGCTTTTACTTGCAGAGCTTATGAGATTCAATGGTTAATGGTCTAGGTGTTAAATTTCAAAATACATAGAATGTTCGTACTTATTGATGCAGTGTGTTAAAACATGTGCACCTATTTATTTTCCACACCGTAATGGAAGGTACTTCCCTGTTCTAGGGTGCAACTGGTGCCATGGCAATCCTTCTAAAAGATGCCATTCAGCCAACGCTAATGCAGTCTCTGGAAGGCACCCCTGTGCTTGTGCATTGTGGTCCCTTTGCCAACATTGCCCATGGTTGTTCATCTGTAATTGCTGATAAAGTGGCCTTGAAACTTGTTGGCCCCGAGGGATTTGTGGTCACAGAAGCAGGATTTGGATCTGACATAGGTAAATAGTGTGCTATAGAGTGCAGACTAACATTGTAACAAAAAAAGCAAACAAATAATAAATATAATCTTCATAACAAGACACATTTTCTTACAGGAATGGAGAAGTTTTTTAACATTAAATGTCGCTCATCAGGCCTTGTGCCAAATCTTGTGGTGTTGGTTGCATCTGTAAGAGCTTTGAAGATGCACGGCAATGGACATCCTGTCGTTCCTGGAATTCCTTTGCATGATGATTACGTTCATGTAAGTAGACATGATTACGTTTGTGTTTGTGTTGACAATTAGTTTTGTAATTCCCAAATTCATAATAAATTTTAGAGTATATATTTAAAGTTCTAGACAAAATTTTTGAAAAAAATAATCAGTTCCTCTTTAATATGATTTTTCTACACATAAAGCTACAAGATATTAGCTACAAAATATTTACCTTTACATACGTTTGTTTGTTCTCACAGGAAAATATTGAGCTTGTAAAGAAAGGACTTCCGAATCTTCAGCAGCATATACAAAATTGCATTAAGTTTGGTGTTCCAGTTGTGGTTGCAATCAATAAGTTTAGGTAAGAAAAAACAAAGAAATAAATTTATTATAATTTTCATTTTGCAAAATATGGACATAAAGTTTGTTTGAAAATTTGATTTAATTTACTATAACTCATTTATTTTAAAATCAATTCCAAAAGTATGTCACTTTTTTTTTCTTCTTCACTTTTTGGGCCTAAAATTGAAGAGGAATAGTGTTGTAAACACAAAACATTAATTTAAGTTTTTGGAAATTTCGAAATTACTTATGGAAATTTTCATTTTTAAAATACACTGGCGGAAAAAAGTATTGCCACACCAGGAAGGGCACGAACAATCAAGTAGGTTATAAGGGAAGTTGGGGATGGGGGAAGGGGCCATAGAAACGGTGAATAACATTTCACGAATGACTGACGGCCGGTGACGTAATGACAGCGTGGCGAAATGGCCCGGAAGCTCCATCTACTCCGCGGCTTTAAAAGGCGCTGTCCATTCCATGAGGTGCAGTCGGGACTTAGGTATGCCACGGAGTCGCACTCGTTCTTCCTTTAAGCAGTTGGACCAGTTCGAGCGGGGTCGGATTGTCGGCCTGCGCGAAGCGTGGTCCTTTTGGCGCATTACGAGGGTTGCCTTTAATATTTCAGGATTAGAGAACAAAAACAAATATTAATCATCGAAAATCACTTATTTATCAAAATATTCCCCATGAAGATCTGAATCAATTGTCGAAGCTTTTTTATCACTCTGATTGAGGTATCTATAAAACATGCTTTCTGAATGCAGCAACCGCTTCTTCAGGTGTCGAAACACGTTGACCTCTCGGTTTGTTTTTTACGTACGGGAATAAAGAGAAGTTATTCGGTGCCAAGTCAGGACTATACGGCGGATGACCCATCAAATCGATGTTTTGGGTGCTCAAAAATTCAGTTGTTTGAGCCGATGTGTGAGAGCTCGCATTGTCGTGGTGAAGAGTGATCAGTCTTCAGCGGTTGGTTTTCCTGATTTCTTGGAAGACAGCTGGCCAACAAATCATTGTGTACCACTCAGAATTGACTGTTTTGCGTTGTTCTGGTGGTACGGTTGCGACATGTCCAGCTTTTCCGAAAAAACAGGCGACCATCTGTTTGGAAGTGCTTCGTGCGCGAATAACTTTTGTTGGATTTTGCTCATCTGGAAACACCCATACAGTCGACTGCTGTTTACTTTCGGGCTCATACGCTTAAATCCACGATCCATCACCTGTCACGATGTCATAGACGTGTTTCGAAGCACCGCGATCTTATTTTTTGAGCATTTCTTTCGACCAATCGACACGAGCCTTTTTTTGAACGAATGACAAATTGTGTGGGATCCAACGCAAACAAATTTTTTTGACAGTCAAATGTTCATGCAATATTGAATTATGCTGCTCCCACTAATGCCCAAGGTGTCTCTAATCTCACGATAGGGCAATGACGACTTGCAATATCAGTTCACGCCCAGCATCAATGGTTTTCGGAACAAAACTGAATTTTGGAACGACCTTCGCGAAATTCGTCTTGGAGTGAACTACGACCACGATTGAATTCACCATACATCGATAAACACTGGTCCTTGATGGAGCTTCATCGCCAAAAATTGAATTAAGTTCATCCATGCACTGTTTGCTGAGTTAATCCACGTCGAAAGTTGTAAAAAATAATCGCACGAAAAATGTTCACGATTTATTCCATTTTTGGGCTAAGATGAATCTTTTAAGTTACTGTAAACAACACAAATAGCGCTCGTATGTCAAAACGTTCTGAGTAACCTATAATCTCAAAACATTCAACTTTACGATAGAGCTGTCAGTTGCCAGATTGCAACACCAGGGTTCCAAATCCCCGAAACATAAATGGCAACCTTCGTACTGAACATGTGGGCCGTGGAGTGACGTTGAGTGATCTTTTGGAGTGTTGCTGTGGCACGCTTGTCTCTTGGCGAGACTCTTTTGTCCAGCTTTTCGTTTTTTACCCTTTCAATGGTGTTTTTCTAGGTTGCGCACTCCTCTCCCCCGTACAGGGACGGGGATTGGGGAGTCGGGGGGAGAGACCTGTAGGTGGTCTATTTTGAGGGGTGTTTGGTAGTAGGGAAGTGGGAGGGGAAGGGATTAGGGAAAGGAGGTAGGATAGGGAGTAGGAAGGTTGGGAAAGTTAATGGTTGTTCTTTGGTCCGTCGTTGGGTCAGTGTTTTGGTCCGTGGTTTTCGTCGTTAGTCGGTAGGTCGTGTCCACCTTTGGCCTAGGTAATGGAGGGGGGGTTGTGGATATCAAGAGGTGTTTCTTGCTGTATGTCTGGGTGGGTACGAAGGATATGTGGTGGGGTATAATTAAATTCCTGAATGGGGATCGGTGGTGAATTTCTGTATGGTTGGACTGAGGAGTTGTGGAGGGTATGTAAGTATGTGTGGCATATTATGAAGTTCTCTAGAGTTATTGAAGGCGGGTTAGTGGAGGGGGGCGGAAGATAAGGCGATGACTCTGTTTTCGTGTAACGGTTAGTTTTCTGTAGTGTTATAATGGAGGTATGAACCATGTAGGATGGGCGTAGGATAGGGGTGGGCGGATATAGGTGTTGTAGGTTTGGATTCGTTTTGGATTGGGATAGATGGGTTGGAAAGATAGGGTGAGGGCATTTGGGCGCGTGGTGCGACGTTCGAGTGATGAAGCATTCTCATAGCCGTAGACCCACTTCGAGGCGACCGCGGAGCACTGACGAACGTCAAGATCGACGCATCCTGAGGGCGGCGTTGGCAGACCGTACCGAGATACCCGCGCCAAGATACAGGCACATGTGGACCCCAACGTGTTTTCATGCACCATTGGGAACCGGTTACTTGCTGCAGGATTACATACCACTAGCTCGACTGCCATTCACGCCGAACCATCGTCGGTCACGTCTGGCGTGGTGCAATGTGCTGGTCAGCTGGGAGACGGAATGGCGTGCAGTGATGAGAGCCGCTTCTGCCTGCACACCAGTGATGGTCATGTGCGAGTGCGTGCGTCTGGAGTGTGTTCGTCCATGGGCCCCGCCACGGGAGTGATGGTGGCGGGCGCCATCAGCTACAACACGCGTTCGTCTTTGGTGTTTTGGAGGGATCATTGGCCAGCGCTGGAGACATCGAGCATGTTGTGCGGCTTGAGCTGATATCTTTCGTGCAACAGGAGTGCGCTGTTTCAGCAGGGTAAGCAACGGCTACGCAACACGCTCTCCGGTGCCCTGGCCGGCCTGCTTGCCTGATTTGTCTCCGATCGAACATGTGTGAGACACGATGGGCCAACGCGTGACTCATGCTGTGACTTTCTCGACAACTCTGCGTGAGGCGGTGCAGGAGTCGTGGAACAAACTACCGCAAGACACTATTCGCTACCTGTATGATGGGATGCAGTGTTAATGTGGCGTTTCCACTCCGTGGTTCTCGCTGTTGGTGGATGTGCGAGTCTCACGTGGCTCTGCCCATATACTCATATGTAGATTACATAATTAGTAGTTTACACTAGTGGTGTGTAGATTACAGTCTATCTATTTATGCTGATACGAATATACAATGCATTTGGGGTGTTGCAATACTTTTTTTCCGACAGTGTATTTCATAACTGTCGGTAATATATATATTCAAGGAATGTGATAAACAAGAAAACATTTTATTTAGTGTCAAAGCAATAAAATGTTTAGAATTGATTTTAGTTGATAATTGATTTTATTGAGTTTAGTTTAGATTTAGTTCTGATAATTAAGTTTTAAATAAATTTAAAAAAATTAGTGTTTCAAAATCATAATAAAAAAGAAAAGAAAATTTGTTGAAATTAATTTGTGGTCATTTCGAACTGATACCCAATTTGTTTTGATGAATGACAGGAGAAAAAATTGTGTTTGTGTTTGGAATGGTAGATGTTCACCTGGAACTCGCTTGATGACGCCTGATGGAGGAAAAGGAGCTAAAGTGCCAGCATATAGCTAAACAATCAGGCTTATGTTTTTTTCAGCTCTGACACTGCTGCAGAACTCAAAGTAATAAAGGAGGCTGCTCTGTCCTGTGGTGCAGCTTCTGCAGTTGTTTGTAATCATTGGGCTGAAGGAGGGCTTGGAGCTGCTGACTTGGCAGATAGTGTCATACAACAAACATGCCATCCTACAGGAAACATGAGGTTAGAATTTTTTTTCTTCTGTTAATACTTTAGACACTCTGTATACTGTGCTTCTTGTGTATAAAGTGCAGAATGTTGCATTTGACTTGTCCTAGAAACTGCTTCAGAACAGTTCTGTTTCCCGATGATACGAATGTACTTTGCAAAAAAGAAACAAATAGTATGATTTCAGAAGTTTCAAATAGGTTTTGCAATAACAAATAAATAGTTAATGAAGGAAAAACAATTTCAATGCATTTTTTCATTTCAAATCAGCAATCACATGCTCTATTGAAAATGAACTATATGCAATTAGCAGATGTTAAAGTAACAGAATTTCTAGGTCTTGTTATTCAGTCAAATCTTAAATGGAATGTACATGTATCAGATTTAAATTCATTAAGTTACAAATTTAAGTTCATTATGTTATGCATTCAGTTTTGAGTGTGTTAAGTTGTAGTTATCATGACCTTAACCACCCTTGAACCTATTGTTATATTGACTTTATCTGCTGCTTAATAAGTTTAACATTTTTTCAACAGGGCAATTTCTCAATAACAGTGCAAACAATTTGAACTTTTGTCTTGCTGTGAGGTAAAAGTCTGTGTTCTTTACTAAATCACATACACTTATTGCAAAAATGAAATGAGAAATGTTCCTTCACACACCAATTTTTCTGGAAAAGCTACTTCACACATACTACTTACGAGAAACTTGGAAACAGCTCAGTGTCAATACAGGAGGAATCTGTAGTTGATTAATATACAGATCATGCTATTAAAATAGTTTGTATAATTAAATGTCTATATTACAAAACACAGAATGAAAACAGTATGAGAACACTGATTACAGCTTAGAAGTTGGAAACTTGTCCTGGAAACTTACGTTTGTAGATGAGTGGTGTAACTTCTTATAGAAGTATCACCACTATAAAAGATTTGGTGACCATCTTCTCTTAAATTTGTTTTCCATGGCATCGATATCTTGATTAATCGCACATCATGTTTGTCACACACATCTCCAAAATTAGGTGCCAAGAAATTCAAATGGTAATGAAAGAAATGTAATTTCAGAGACATGTTGCACCTCACAGCCTTGTAGCAGTCCAGCATGTGTTCCGTAAGTTCCTGTAATTCTCAGACATTACGTTTCCAAAGAAATTGTCACATCTGTTAATGTAAGTGAAGGTGCCTTTTCAATATCCATCAGCAACTGTTCAAAGATAATATCTGTCATCACGTCAGGGGCCTGAGGCCCAATAAAAATTCCTTTCTTTAATTTTTGCAGAATTATCGCAGGAAATTTAGATAGTAAAAATTGAAAAACTTGGCCAAATTTGTCCATTGTTTTCACAAAATTCTTCATAAAGCCCAATTTCAGATGGAGTGGTGGTAATAGCACACTGTCTTTGTCAGCAAGGGGTTCAAGCAGCATCTCTTTTTACCAAGATTGAAAATTTCTCTCAAGAGTCACTCTTTGAGTACACAATGATCGTCCCTTACACTACTATCCCAATGACACAAGAAACAGCAATATTTTGTGTAACCCGACTGCATTCCTAGAAGAAAATAGGCACCATTCTTCTGGATTGTTAATTATCCCAAATTTTGTAAGCAGACAATTTGTCATTACAAAATGACATTACAATATATAGTATTTCATAATAACAGGTTATTTTCTTGAAGTAATTTGCCTGGTGGGGGAGTAGTCTTTATTCAAATAATTATGCTTGTCTTTTAGAAGATTTAGATGTTTTACAAGATTGTTCAATTTTGACTGCAGCAATGGCTGCGGTTGTAGCCATGCTGCAGATGGCATGTACTCAAGATCTTTGTGATCTGTTGTGTTTGTCACTTCCATTGTCTGTTTCATCTTTCCAGTGTCCATTCCGTTGATGGTTTTGGAACTGGTAGAGAATCAGAATGCAGAACTGGGCACATTGCAGTTTATGAATTTGGATAAGAAACTGTGTGTTGTGATTGACTTGAGATTTCATGAAACAGAAGTAACAATCTGATGAGGTGTGCAAGTTCCTTCCAGAAGTTAATATGACAAATGGCATAGATGTGTGATTCTATGTAATTGGCCTCCTAAATAGTAGGAGCAACATGAACAACGGTTCTGTAGTGCCTAACACTTACCCTCATCTACCTTTAATTCAAAATATACTCGTACACCTTTTTAATGATCGAAGAAATGGGATGTCTTTAAGACTTAGTCATAAATCCATCGCACACATAACAAAGATGATTTCGTGAATTAACACCCTTCGTAGACATTACCGAGCATAAGAAACACGCACAAACAATATTCTTCACGTAAGCAAATGTAGACACTTCATACTGTGATACTGTGTGATCTCACCTGCATCTGCATCTTTCCTGTACCTACCCCAAGTGACTGTTTCCCCCGTCCCCTCTCTACTCCCCCACCAGGCAATAATATTCCTAGAATAAAAGAATGTAAAGAATCATTAATAGCAGATAAAATTGCGTTTCCAGAAGAAAGTTTAGGTGTTAGCAAACAATGGTTTTCACCACTGTCATCAGGATACTGAACTACACAACAATAACTATTTTCTTCTGTGGCAAATGTCATTGTTGCACTAAATGGTGGATCCATGAGTTGGAGAGTCATGACCCCCCAAAATTAAAATTAAGATTTGTAACATTTTATATCAAACTAACTAGTTTTAACTTGTCTGTTCCTGTAAATTATTTGAACTGTGAGTATTTGCTAATAGGGGATGAATGGAATATTTTGAAATATGTAGCCAAAGGCTTGAAGTTTTGAATGTAAATGCAGGGGTTTCTCCTACCTTGAGTAACTGTGTGTGTTCAGATACATCAAATTGGTTTATTGGTCATGTACATTTTTTGATAAATAAAAATTATTGCACATTTCTTCTGTTTCTCTAGATTCCTGTATGATTTAACCATTCCCTTGGAAGAAAAAATTACTATAATAGCGCAGCAAATGTATGGAGCAGGGAATGTGGAATTGTCTCCTCATGTACAGAAAATGTTGCAGACATATACTGAACAAGTAAGTCAGAAGTTACAGAAAGAAATTGCTTTTATTATGGTAGCTCAAATTGCCACCTTCATGTATTGTAAAACCATAATTGTGTCAGCAATTTTAAATTTATTAATTGTAATTAAATAACAGTAATAATTTAACTTACTCTAAAAATCATTATTACTTAAGCTCATTGTAACAAGTGTATTATCATGTCTTGAATTTGGAATTAATCTCTCTCCTTTTTTTTCCTCCTCCTCCTCCCCCCCCTTCTTTCTTTCTCTTTTATTATATTTTCTGGTCTGTGTGTTTCATTTCCTCTGTCTTTTCTAATTCATGTGCAAATCTTTTCTTGTAGGGATACCACAATTTACCTATCTGCATGGCAAAGACTTCCAACTCACTGACAGGTGATCCGAGCATAAAAGGTGCCCCTAAGGGTTTCACTTTGAAAGTGAATGATGTGTTCATTTCTGTTGGTGCTGGATTTGTTGTGACTGTGGTTGGTGAGGTGAGTTGATAGCTCATTATTAAAAATTTTCAATATATTTTTTAGGTAAAGTTAGCAAGATTTTAAAATTAAAAAAATAAATATTTACTCAGTTTGAAGTTACTTATTAATGTAATTTTGTTTCCTTGCAGATTTCTAGACTTCCAGGCCTTGGGGTGCGACCTAATATATATGACATGGATCTGGATACTGAAACTGAAGAAATTGAAGGATTGTTTTGAGAAATTATGCATTTGGAGAAATTAAAGACTGTTTTGTGATAAGCAGTTGTTGCATGTTACAAATGTAATTAAGAAATATATATTTTTATAAAATCTTTGATTACTGGAAATATACGAAACTAAGATTTACAATTTACTATTGCACTAGTATTTGTATAATAATTGTTGTTTTGTTTTGTGTAATGTCTAGAATAAGAAAATCATTAAAGAATAGGATAAGAAAATTGTTAAAGCCTAATATCACTATTAAATGTTTGCACTTCAAAATGAGTTGGTATTTTTTGTTTTTGTAATGGACATTAGATGTGATGAAATGACGAATGAATGTTTAATGAGCAAGTGAAAGTTATCAATGTTGCAGGGGGTATATGTAGTGACAAGTATAGTAGAACCTCACTAACTTGATACAAGGTGGACTATGAGAGTATTCAATCATACAGATCAACAGAAATTAATAGGCAAAGCCCTTTTTATTTTTTAATTTAAAAACTTAACAGTATTCAACACTAACATAATAAAATGACTAACATTAACATAACTGTATACCATCCAAAAAAATGATTCAAACAAACTAGTATTTGTGGAAATTCTATGATTAAACAAAAATAATCATGATGGAAACATCTCTTGATTGTTGACTATTTTTTACTTTCTTTTGAATTCAATTTCTGCCTCATCAATTGAAGGAAAACCACATCTATTACAGAAGGCCCTGTTGCTCTAAATCTTTTAAGATTCGCTCAATGCACTTCACATCTTCCCAGTGGCTCATTTCTTTTTGTTGACCAATTTCCTATTCTTCCTAACATTCAATATCAGAATGTTGTAATCTTATCCAAAATGAAAAATGCTTTTATCAAGAGATTCTTAGGCCCTAAAATGCAATAACCCGAGGGCCAATAATTGGCAAAAGCACCCTCTGAAAATGGATTCCTGCATCCATGTATTGTGCTGTTTTCGATACCAGGTTATCAACAAGCTGAATCCACTATCTGGGCAAAGTATTTTTTTTAAACTTGTGACTTCTTAATTTTTCCAAGTAGGTCAATCCTTTTGTTGCACTGCTCCTCACAACAATAATATACTGTGCTTAATTTCTACTAGGACTTTAGTTTAACTTGCCACCATTACTGAAAGCAGCAACCATGAAGCTTTGCCTCCTTTTGAAACAACCATGGCTGGCCCCTTGAGCTGCAGAGGTGGTGAGTGTCAGGTCAAGCTGCAGCAACTTTCCCGTTTCTGTGTTTTTTCCATTCAAGAGTTTGTGGGTGGGGTGGGCAGAGAAATGAATGGACCAGCGAAACATCTCCAGGCGATTCTATCACTTGGAACAACGTGCGCTTAAGAAACAAAACTGTAATACTGAAAATGTCGAGGGAAGTTTTGACTCATTTATTATCAGCAACGTAACTATAATTATTATTTAATGAAAGAGAGAGAAAAATCTGAAAGATTTCTCGTGAAAAATTACAACCTAGCTCTTCATTATTTATAACAATAATAATATTTTTATGAATCCTGCAGATTAAACACATACAATGGTTTTAATAAAATCAATAAAAATATCAATAGTGTAAATAAGTTGTAAATTAATAATTAATGAAAATGATTAATAAAAACAAAATATTATTTCTCTAAAATGACAATGAACTGACCATATAGAAAATGCCCAAAGTGACAACCATTTTCCAAGACAGACGTTTATTTTTTTCAAAGTAGCAACTGCAACATGTTTACAACAGACAGGAACGGGACAGAATAAGTGCTTTCTTTTTCTTCCATCTATAATTAGCCAAATTCTCACAGCTTGAAATCTTAGGGCATGTGGCAGGGGGCCACTAAAAGTGAAAGGGATGCTGAAGATATTTCACATGTTGCCTAATTGCCAAAATGAGTTTTCCCTGACATGGGTTGCAAGTTTAACTAAAGACCTGGTATTGTACCTTGGGACTTTTTTGTTTTCTTTCGTTTTTGTCTTTATATTCAAAGCTTAACTTTTAATTGCAAGCATTCAAAAAAAAACAAGCCTTTTTCATCATAATTATAATTAGTGAGCTTTTAGACCTTTTATTTCACCTTTATCCGATCTTCTCTGTGCATGTAACTTTATTTCCTATAAAACTCTCAGTTAGTTCCAGATCATCTTGATCATTACATCACAAAAAAAACTTTAATTCTTCTTGCAAATGTTCAAATGAGACAATTGAGCTCAGGTTACGAGGAAAAGATATCTAAAAATAGTGTGTGATCTTAAACTACTGTCTCAGCCAAGAATTAACAATCATTTTTGTCTGAACATGATCTGTTGAGTTTGTGAGGGTTTTGTGGAGTGATAATTACGTTTTTGTTAGCAAATATTATGTATAGTTTAATGGTGTTGGAAATTATTATTAAGAATTAAATTATAATTGTTATAATTGTATGTTTTATTAAACCCTTTGATGTTTTATGATGTTCTTTCACAAATTTGTGGGTAACGTTTGTCAATGTTCTTGTACATTCAGCCTTTGGTATCAAAAGTACAAAAAGTCCTCTGTCAAAAGTTTACTTTTTTAACTTTCATGCTTTGTAAAAAAAAGTATTGCGCCGGAGAACGGCGAATTTTCGACAGTAAAAACTCTTATTGTCGGGTCCTGGTAACGAAAATATGGACAAAACCTGTTCCTATGTATAGAAAAGAACCTCCTCTAAAACGTGGTGTAGCTAGAATCCATATTTTGTGGGTTCTATATATCCAAAAACGATTAATGGCTGTCCGTCTGTCTAGTAAACGCTAGCGCATAAACCGTTCAGCCAATTTTCTACAAAATTGATATTCCTCGATCGATGTGAACGAACTCGAGGCTTTGGGAGTTTCAAATGGATATTTTGATTTTTGAGGGAACTGAACATGAACATTTTAAAAATTTTCTCATAAATGGTTCTTTTCTTCTTTTACTAAGTCATCGGAATCTTCAGAAAATGGTGCAGTTTTTGTGTTCATTGAAATCCCAAACTTTTCGAAAATTAGGCGAAATATAGTCGATTGATTTTTTAAACAAATTTCTCAAAAACCGATCAATTTTTTTTCTTTCAAATTTTCTCATTTGTATCAAGAAACTAAAAAAATATGGCGCTAGTCTCATTTTTGGCGAACTCACTGTATTTGACAACCACAAAATTGAATGTACAGATTTCCATATCTGAACCAGATGGAGGCCAAATTCATATGAATTACTTACATTTCATTATGTTTTAGTGATCTGAATTTTGGAAATTACATTTTCGTCATATAATGGAGGTGTAACCTCCAGTTTATTGGGGCACCAGCTGCCACTGAGTGGAGTTGTTTGAACTTACCAGAACAGCCTGCACTCAATCTAGAAAAATGCATACTTATAGGTAGATTCATAGGTTTAAGCTCTGGAACTGCTCTTATGCAGTGGAATTTTTTATTATATGAAGTAAAAATAGTTTCAGTTAAAAAAAGCTTGTCTTCCAAAATTGAATTGCCAATCATGCCTTAAAAGTGCTTTATTGTGCCCTGGCTGATTTTCAGAAGTCAAATTTCTTATTTCGGTTCAATCTGAGGAATAAGGAATGTTTCTATTTAACATTCATAAAAGTTCCATAATTATATTCACTTAAAATTTGGCTCAGACAAACATGTTTCATTAGAACATTAGTTAATTTAATTTAAAATACATAAACTCACTAAAATTATTGGAATGTAACTATTTTTTTCAAAGTTGATATTGCATAATGGTCTCTTGCTTCAAAATTTACTGACTGAAACATTTGTGACTATGACAGATGTGTGAGAACATTTGTTCACAACTGATGAATGATCGACAACATTCACAAATTTTGTGCTAATACAACATTCTGTTGGAAGTGTTCATTATTCAGTAACTGATTTTGAGCACTTCCTGGGGTGGATAAATAGATATTTTTTTAACAAGAGGATGAATAATTCACCTCAATCCTTTCAGAATTAAAATTTATTATTACTCAAGTAGGCCTACATTTGCTTGAGAAGGAATTGACAACTTGGTTGTTAAATGTTCATCAAAAAAGAACTTGACATTTGTTGATTCAGAATTGGAAAGTGTAATCGGAATATTTCTTAGGTTCTTTTAACTTGTTTCCCACATTTCAGGAGAGTCAAGGCTTTACCTGCATCAATGCCATAAGGTTCAGCACCTGCTTCCAGAACCTGCATGACATTAGGTCTCTTATTTTCGAAGGCTACACTCAAAACTTGGCTCTTCTGCTCTTCCGTTAGGCCCCTTTCTACAAGTAGTGACACACATCTTGCGTGTCCCCGCGCCGCAGCATCGTGAACTGCGTCCCACGTATTCCTCACGCCTGCATCCAAGAGCGCCTCCAGGCATTCCGCTTGGTTGTTCTGCGCTGCGAGTTGGAGGGCGTACGCTCCGCTTAGAAGTTGCCGCCCGGCGCACGCGTCCAGCACAGCCCGCAACGCGGCCACGTGGCCGTTCCGCGCAATCGTGGACAGAGCGGCGTCCGCCGCCGCCACGAAGACGTGCGGCGCGGCGTCGGCCAGCGCCCACACCACCTCCGCGTTGCACGCGTGCTCCAGCGCGTGCATCACGATCAGGCGCGCCTCCCCCTGGGTCGCCCCGTACCTCGCCAGCGCCCGCACCGCGCGACCGCTGCCGCCCTCCGCCGCCGCCACCAGCAGGATATTGGGCACGCTGCTCAAGAAGAAACGCACCTCCAGGCTGCCCCTGACTTCCTGGGAGGTGGCGAGAGGGCTGGGCATGGAGACCGGCGCCCCTCTGGCGACCAGCAACTCCACCGCCTCCGCGTGGCCGCCCCGCGCCGCTGCCGCCAGAGGGGACCGCCCTTCTTTGTCCTTGGTGCGGACGTCCGCGCCTTTGTCCAGCAGCGCCCTCATCAGCTCCACGTCTCCCCGCTCCGCCGCCACGTGCAGAGGGGTTCGGCCGCTGAGTCCGCTCTTGGAAAGCGCGCGTCCCACCGCAGCAGCTCCGCGAGAGCGGCGCGATGGCCTCCGGAGGCGGCTGCGAAGGCGGGCGACTGGCCCCGGGCCATCGGGGGTTGGGGTCGGCGCCCAGCTGCAGCAGCAGGTGCACGGAGGGGGCGTGCCGCGAGCGGCCCGTCGCCGTCCGCGCGCCCTCCACCACGAGCCACTTGGCCGCGGCGCTGTGGCCCGCGCCGGCCGCCAGGTGCAGCGCCGAGGCGCGCGCGCCGTCCGTGTCGTCGGGCTTGGCGCCCGGCCGCCAGCTTTAGGAGCAGAGCGGCGTCGGGCGTGGCCGGCGGCCGCGGCGGCGTGCAGCGGCGTCTGCAGCCCCCGCCCCCGCGCCCGCGCCGCGCACGCCTCCGCCTGAGACTGAATGATCGGCTCGCAATCAAGGTGCTAAGGACAATCCGGCACATCCCAACCGACCTCGCATTTTCAGTTAGAAGTATGACGGTAAATTCTTGCCATATACCAATCATATGTTAAAATAAATGAATTGGAATTTGGCAAAATCCACAAATTGCACCTTCAAACATTTGTTCGGAGTGTAAGTGAACATGAACGAAAACAAAAATTCATTTTACTCGAAACGAACTTCGGTTGGGATCTGCGGTTATTATTTTGAGCGCCTCAATTATGCAATGCGCTGTGCGATGGGGCATGCTGAGAAAAGAAAATTATTCTAAACATTTCCTCCGGGTGTCTCTAGATCAGGGTTTCCAAACCTTTTTTCTTTCATTGACCCCCTTTCGTTTCTCTCTATAATGTAAGAAAGAAGATTGGACGTTGATCTGGTGGCAGACGACAAAATACGGCTTTTCAAGCGACATCGCGGGTGGCTGGTCTGCATGGGAGCGAAGCAACGGTGCGGCAGGAATTGGGCCAAGGTCGGGAGCAGCGGAGACGACGGGACGTCCGGAGTTCGGCATCCCCGCCCGCAGCGCAGGTGCAGGACATGGTAACGGGAATTGAGGGCAGACAGCACAGTGAACGCGCTAGTGTAGTGACTGAGAGACAGAAATCAAGAGAAATTTGAATAATAAATTAGAGTTTGTGGCGGTCAGTATTGCAAAGGATAACCGCCGAAAAGCCTTGTAGTCCATGTAATGAGTTTCATTCCTGTGTGAATTGCTGAGAAAATTCATTGCAAATATTTTGAGCATGATAGTAATTATGTTTAACTGTTGAGCGTTATGCTGAACAAAGTGATTCATGAGAGATTAAGAAGTAATTCCATATGCATCATGTTTTGATCATATAAAGTAATTAATAATTTGCAAAAAATTGCTAACCAAGCATTGAGTAACTACCGTGCACGGAATGAGAAAGTATAAATGTAGGAAGTTTAAAATGTTTCAAAGTTATTAAGACTCTCTCCCTCTCTCCCCCTCCCTCTAGCTCTCTCTCTCTCGATCGCTCTCCCTCTCTCCCCTCTCTCTCTCAAAATCTCTCTCAAAATCTCTCTCAAAATCTCTCAAAATCTCTCTCAAAATCTCTCTTCACCGACCTTGCTCACTGCACACGTCTGACACGACGTCTTGTTCAAGAAGGGCTGAGTGGTCAGTTTCTCTGCTTCTTCAGGACGAACCCCTCCTCGCTTGCCATGAACCGCAAGTCCGGCTGTGGAGCCGCGGGCCACAGGTAACAGGTCGCACTGTTTCCTACTGTTTGTTATTGGCGCCGCCGAAGGAGCTGCGGTGTTGTGGAGTTCTGGTTCTGAGCAAGGCTCAAATGCTACACACACACACACATACATACACACACACGACACGCTCACGTTCGTCCCACACCCACACAACATGCGAGCGCGGCGCTATTCAAAAGGGGCGCGGTTGAGGATTGTGTGGCCGCTGCCGTCGATAAGTCGATACCGTTGCGCGCAATGCCCTCGGCACGCCGCAGACAATATGACACGTGAGTGGCTAGACTGGGGAGGAGGAGATGACGCGCTGCAACCCCTACAAGAAGGGCGGTCCCTGAACATTCCTTCTTCTGGTTGCGATCGCCGTTCGAGCAGCAACATCGACATGGATTCAGCGACAAATTAAGTAGGGGTATGGACGTCAGACGTATAGATAGTGATTCACGAACGAATTCTTTGGAAAACAGCCGGAGGAGAGTTTTTCGTTAGGTAAGGGTGGGAGTAATTAGTTCAGATTAAATCGTTCAAAGTGATTCAGAGGGCAGTAAAGAAGGGTATTTGTCCAGTGAAGAAGCAGTCACTTTCAATGAGGGGCGTTAAGTAGAACTGTGCTATCGAATGCTACGCGTACGCCCGAATTAAGCAAATACGCATTATTTATTTATTTGCGTCGTGCAAGTGACATTCGCACGCGGGTGTGAACTAGACGAGGCAAGAAAGAAACAATGAGGGCGCACGGTGCCGTGCAAGAGAGAGAAGACGACGAAAGACAACGCGGAAGGCAACGAGAAGGCGACGACCGAGGTGAAAACGGAATGCGCCAAAAGCAGATGGCAGCTTCCACGGGCGAGGCGCCTGGAACACCGCCGAACGACCGCCGGCGAGCACCGCTGACGCGAGCCAAGGTTGGGCTCCGAGACGAGCAGTGGGCGCTGCAGCGTGAGGTAACGGCGAGCGGCGCATAAGCGCTGAAATGTAGGTCAACGACCGACGGAGAACTTATTGAAAGGAAACGTTTCAAGGGGAAACAAAATAGTGAACGGGTCTACTAAAATCCAAAGATTCCTGCCATTTCAAGCAATTTGCCTACAGAACTGTAATGAAATTTGTGTTTAATTTATGTTGTTCACAGCAACAACAAATTGTTTAAGAGTGTTGCATAATTGTTCACATTTTATGTTAAATTGGCTTGGATTAAATGTTTGGATGAAAATCTGATCCCGGTGTCACTAGGTGAAGCAAGTAAGAAAGTAAGAAATTGAAGTAAATTTCATAAGATAAACAACGTGAATTTTCTGGTAATAAAGTATACGCAAAAAAAGTGAATGAATATTTCATGCATTCTTAAAAAGTCACTTCTTTTTTTAAAATCTATGTGTGTTCAGTATAATCAGCGAAGGGGTTTCAGAATATTAAAAAGATCCCACTGCTCTGACAGGTATTATAAAGCTCGCAAGAGCATGATATCTGCGGATTCCCCCCAGGAATTACTAGGCAGGGATTTTTGTCAGAATATATGTATATTACGTGTTAAATATTATTTATCATACCACACTTCGCATAATGGTGTGTTTGCTGCAGACAAACGGAATTTCGGTTATCAGCTGAGGGTCCGGATTAGTTTGTCAGATGGCGGATAGGAAAACATGTAGGTGCTCTAGCCGAACACATTTACAAATGGCACCCTTTACTCTAGATTACCCGTAAGAGTGGTCTTCCTGAGACCAGCTATCAACATGTCGATTGCATTGCGACCGCTCGCGCCCAAAGCGCTGACTCACAATGCCTTTCTTTCCCACGCTCAGTGGCGGTGGTCGGTGGCTTTATGTGAATGGGGACCCGCGCTTCACAGTAGTGCTGCCTCCTGACTGCACGTAAAGGCAGCCTATTTACATGTAGTGACAGACCATCAGCTGTGACGCGGTTACACAATCGGGAGCAGCGATACCTTGAAATGAAAGTTGAAAAGCAGCTCCCGACTGGATAACCTTGAGCAGCAGACGATGTGTCGCAAGTGACAGCACTGAAATCGGCCAATGAAGTGGTCACCTGCGCGCGCAGCAGCTCGTCGAGCGCCGCCACGTGGCCCGCGCGCGCCGCGTGGTGCAGCGCGGTGTCGCCCCGGGCGTCGCGCGCCGTCGCCTCCGCGCCCGCCGCCAGCAGGCGTCGCACGGCGTCGGCGTCCTCCGCCTGCGGCCGCCGCGTGTGTAGCGCTGGAGCGTCGACGGGGCGCGCTGCCACCCGCTGCCGCCGGGCCGGAGCCTGCAGCTTGTCCATGCGGGCGGAGAGCGCCTCCACCGCAGGCACCACGACGACACGACCCTCCCCAGCGCCTGCTCCTGCCGCGCCAGGCGCGCCTCCACCCCGCCCCGCCACGCCACGCGATCTCCTCCACAGCCGCGCAGAGGGCGCTGAGTTCGCGCGCGCACGCACAAGCACTGTTCGTAGAGCCTTCCATCGCGCGCCTCTCTCTTTCTCATTGCCGATGTCTCCTTTCGAAGCCTGTCACATTAAGATAAGTAAATAAACAAAAGCAATAAATTGTCTGTCACATTATATTCAATCATATTCCGTGAGTTGGGCAACAGAAAACCACAAAAAAATTGCCACAAAATATCTGAGGCCAAACTCATCGAATATGAAAGTAATAAATGTTAGACGAGTCAATCACTTAGATTTCCTTTTGACTTTCAAGTGATCGAGAATAAAAGCGGTGGGATCAGGAGCGTAAGAAAATAATTTGAATTATTTTTCGAAATGGATGACTTCCCACTTACGTAGAGTCACTCTGTGGAAAACCGGGATGTCAAGTAACTTCATTTATTTGGAAATGTTTTGGTAATCAAGGAAGTTGGAGAAGTCAAGGACAATTTTGAGACTATAAATTATAATTATAAAACTAGATATTATTCTTTATACTAGTGGTTTTTCAAAATTTTTTCTTATTGGTAACGATTTCGTAAAACTACGTATTGCAATATACTATTAACACTCCAGCACGTAAGGTAGGAAAAATACTTAAGTCCAGCCGCGAATCAAAGGGGGGGGGAGCATGGCAAGAGAGAGACGAGTCAATCACATCGCTTTGCAGCTCTGAATTTAACGATTTTAATAACAAATTTTTACTTTTTTTTAATTTAAAACTATAAAATAGTCACTAAATATTAAACTTAATTTAATTTTTTAAAGCATTATTCCGTCTCTGGATCCGACGTTACGTATATTTTAATTTTGTTTATGTCAAACGTTTAAATGAAAATACCATTGAAGTTAGTGATTCTGTTTTATTCTCGTAAAAGGTTTAAAGAAACAATAACAATCTCTCCTTCAACAAGGATTTGAACCAATGCCTTGGATTTTCAATTGGAGGCGTAACCATTCGCATTCAGGCACAACTGTTACTTAAACCACCAATTATTGTAGAAACTACCAGAATTATTTCGAATTAACGCAAAATCACTTGAAAACTATTTATATTTTGAGTGGCAATGTACCTGAAATGATTTAAAGAACGTATTTCGATTTCAGATTATATCAAGAAAGAAATCTCAAATTTCAATTTTCAAAGTGAATGACAGTTTCGAAGCATGGAAAAATAAAATAAATGTTTAAGTTATGCAGTTTTAGAAATTTTCAAGGTTTTAATAAAACTTTGAAGACATGCCATACAGTTTGCTATACTCGAGCGTAAAATATCAAGCCCGCTTTAGGTAAAATCTTGTTTCCGTACTTGACACGATTTCACTCAAAATTACACATAAAACATTCATATTTTCAAAACATTATACGAGACACTATCGAAAGATCTCATTTGAAGACCAGATTTCGAACAGAAATATCTCTTATTTATTTTCAAAGGAGAGAAGGATGGTTAAACCAATACATTTTGCAATTTTCGAAAATACATAGATTTAAAATGCATTAACACAAGAATTGTCTTGACACTTTTCTATTCTGTTATTTAAAAAAAAAATACTTCACAACAAACAAATTATTGTATTAGAGCATAACATAGTATTTTAGCATTATTACATATCATAACATACCTGTGTGTTCTCAATTTACGGTACTTAAAAGGGCCATCGTCCAAGCTGAAGCCCAGTAAAGCAATGGCGACACTGCTGCAGGCCCCCACGGACCGAACTAAGCCCTATCAGTGTGCATTATATTTCCTGTCACATCACGTACGGTTACGTAAAAACAATGGGTGATTCCCCTCTTTCGGGAATCCCCTTTCCACGAGATAAGTGTATCGATTTTGTTCTGCCACCAGCGGTAATTCTGGGAACTACCGTATTCGCTTCGCTCAGCGAATAATTTCGTAGCTACGCGTTGCTGTTTTGTTAGCCATAGAGTATATTATTCTCTCTCTCTCTCTCTCTCTCTCTCTCTCTCTCTCTCTCTCTCTCTCTCATGGGCGATTCCCCTCTTTTGGGAATCCCCTTTCGACGAGAAATGTGTATCGATTTTGTTCTGCCTCTAGCGGTAATTCTGGGAACTACCATATTCGCTTCGCTCAGCGAATAATTTCGTAGCAACGCGTTGCTGTTTTGTTAGCCATAGAGTATATTATTCTCTCTCTCTCACTCACTCTCTCTCACTCTCTCTCACTCACTCTCTCACTCTCTCACTCTCACTCACTCTCTCACTCACTCACTCACTCTCTCACTCTCGCTCACTCACTCACTCTCTCACTCTCTCTCACTCACTCTTTCTCTCACTCTCACTCTCTCTCTCTCACTCTCTCTCTCACTCTTGTCTCTCCTTCCTCTCTCGCTCTGTTACTTTTTTCTATCGTCTTCTTGATTGTGTTTTTGATGTTGCCTCGTGTTTCTAGCAGAGCGTGAGCAGACGCGTGCGTTTCGTGGGTTTCGTGGCTGGCGGCGGTCGTTGGCAGAAACGGTTTACCATACGCTGTGATCTCACCGCCTTTGTTACGAGGGATAGGGACTGGGCCCGCGTTGGCTGCCGGGGCTCCAGGGCACGACTCTACGCCCCGTGCTGGGGGTGCGGTCTGCGAACTGGGGGTGGGAGAGTTTGCCACCCTGGCCGCGACATCCCTGGGCTCCTTCTGGGGTGAAGGCGGCGGCGGCGGCGGTGGCAGCGGCGACGATCAGGCGGGCCGACTGTCTCGGAACGGCGGGAGGGACGAAGGGGGGCAAGAGGCGCGTCTGGGATACACAACACAACGCCCCAAGTCTTTCTGAGAACTGCATGGTTTGCGTTTGGCGAGCGAGCGGCCTTCGCATCGGGAAACCGTTCAACACAGAATGTCAACAGCGATAAATTTTGCACGATGGAGCCATTTTTTAGAAAATGTTGAAAATGTTCTAGGGGCTTATGTAAATTACTTCCTGAAATCAAAATACCGGTTTCAAATTCAAGAGGCTGAGACATAAGCTAGATGGATTGGGGAATATGAATTTTGGAGAAAATCGGCAATAGTTTAGCCGCTAGCATTGTTCACAGACAGACAAACACACATACAATATGCCGTCAATCGATTTTTTGCTATCAAGGGCCTACACAACATGGAAACTGGCTACACTTCGTGTTAAAAGGATTGTCCACCCCCCTAAATTTAGCAACTGGATTTTTCTACTTTTTGTTTACCAGAGTCCTGTAATAAAGAGATTTCTAGATCATTTTGAAAACAGTTTTGGATATAGCTTTTAATCTGTTCGTGAGGATCGATGCGTATATTTCGTAGTAGACGTTGAGTAGGCTCTTGTAGCTATTGAAGTTATTGCGGTCTCCCTTTTTAACTAGTGATGATAATCAACATGTACTTTCTCGATTACGTAATACTATTTATACCACAAATTCTCTCCAAATCAACAAATCTCAATCATCATTTTCTGAAAATTTCATTACAAATCGTAAAACATTTGCTGTGAAAACTGAACATTTGAAGCAAATATCAACACAAATTTGACAATTATAACTGCTTTTCATACAGCTGAATCATGGCCCAACAACGAGACATAAATCAGAGAAAATGCAGCTGCTGATTACAATGCGGAATGCCATGGTTGGGTTCCAATATAGCAATTCCAAGGCTAGCAATTTTTCTTTCATAAATATCAAATACATTTATAATTATTTCTAAAAGATTAATTTGTAAAGGTATACAAAATGCTCAAATGTTTGAAACTAACAAAGAAACACCAAATTACTGATACTTTCAAAAAATTGAATGAAAGTATTTGAAGGTCTTTTTCTGATGAACACGCTACTTTCAGAAAAAAAATGTTTCTTTACAATTGTAGTTGAAGGAAGACGCCGCAAGAAAAAAATTATTGAAAACCTAGGCATTTCAACGTACATGAAACCTATACCATTTTCGTAAGGGTTTTTTACGCTACCTACGTCCAAATTGAATCAAAATATGTTGTGCAGTTTTTAAGAAACAATTGTTTATAGAAAATAAACGTTGCCTATGTTTGAAGCAAAATTTCCAAAACCTACTCATATTTTTGTAAAATAGAACATGATAATATTTAAAGAATTATTTTTGATAAAGGAATTTCATTAAGAAATGTTTACCTTACAATTATAAGTGTAGGACAGGCTGAAAAAATTAAATTTTAGCAATTTTCAAAATTCAGAATTTTCTATTAACGTGATATCTAATATTGTCTTAAGCATTATATACTTCATTGGAGATCTGCACCATTCTCTTCACCTTTTAGCTACGGAGTTTTTTTTCTTCTGCACTCCGTGCGGTACGGACTTTTTTAAATAGACGAATTTGCTTGACTCCAGTGGAGGTTTAA